AGAGCAGTACGATCCCTGCATCTGAATCCTTTCTTTTTCTCAATCTTATTTGTTGCGTTCTTATCACACCATGGCCAAGAACAAGGCACTTCTTACCATCCAAAGCTTCCATCAAATGGCAAGCTTGGTGTCTGTTAAACTGTCAAATACTAATTTCCTATTATGGAAATCACAAGTCTTTCCACTCATAAGGAGTGCTCAACTAGTCCATCACATTGAGGAAGCTGCACCACCAGAGACCACTCTTAATGAAAAGGGTGAAGAAAAGAACAACCCAGAATTCAGTATCTGGTTAAACAATGATGGCCTTCTCACAAGCTGGCTTCTCAGAACAATGAATGAAGATTCACTCAGTCTGGTTGTTGGATCTAATTCAGCATACGAGATCTGGAACTGCCTAAAGGAACATTACCTAGCTTCAACAAAAGAGCAAGAAATCCAACTCAAAGGGCAACTCTCTATTAAACGGGGAAGCAATGAAGCACTTGAGGATTTCCTCAAGAAATTCAAAAGTACATGTGACAACCTCACCGCAATTCGAAAACCACTTGATGATCTTGATAAGGTGTTTCAACTTTCTAGAGTTGTTGGGTCAAGATATCAATCATATAATCTTGCTGTCCTCTCGAAACCTCCATACCCAACCTTCAGACAATACATCTTGGGTCTTCAAAATACTGAACGTGATTTGAAGACTGAAGAGGAAGAAGAGAAAAGTCAAACATTAAATTATGGACAGGTTTTTGTTGCTCAAAGAGGAAGAGGAAATCGTGGCAGAGGAAGCAGAAACTTTAACTCTAGAGGCAGAGGTTTTCTTCAAGCAGAAACTTACAATAATCACTGGTCGGGAAACAACAGATATCTCTCAAACAACAATCCTCGATCGGTTCCAGGAAACTTGCACCACCAAAATCAACCAAAGATACAAACATCACGAGGTGAGAATTATTGTCAAATATGTGGAATACGAGGTCACACTGCTTTAAAATGCTGGTACAGGTTTGATCATGCATATCAAAGCGAAGATATACCCCAAGCTCTTGCAGCAGTGTCACTAGCAGATGATAAAGACCATAGATTTTATGCAGACAGTGCGGCCAGTGACCACATGACATCTGAAACAGGTAATCTTTATTCAAAACAACCTTATAAAGGTAGCAAAAAGGTATATACAGGTGATGGTACTCCACTTCCTATAACTCACGTTGGTTCAGCGTCTGTTGGCCCAATACATTTGAATAAAGTTCTTGTTGTTCCTGATCTGAAAAAGAATCTTATTTCCATTAGTAAATTTACAGAAGATAATTCATGTATTTTTGAATTCTCATCTTCTGGTTTTGTTATTAAGGATCCCAAAACCCAAGTGATCCTGGCCAAAGGTTCTAGGAAAGGACAACTCTATGCATTAGATGAAGAAGCAAAGTATGCACTTGCAGCACTTGCAACTAATAAGGCAGAAG